TGTCTCTAAGTGTAGCCCTGTGATAGACTGGTTACCTGTCCAGGTGAACCTGCCTTCACCCTGAGTCAGCTGGGATAGACTCAGTGAGGATTAAGGTGGAGAGATGATGGATGGATGCTGTATCTTCTCACAACAGCTACTCAGATCTCTTGATATAACACTTGTAGACTTTTGTAGGCTCAGGAGGGAAAACATGTCTTATCATAAGAGGCCAGAGACACATGGTCTGGAACCCAGAAATATCAGAACCATGATGGTGGGAAACTGCATTAATTAGAAATATGAGAATATGGACACCGAGCACATTCATCAGGCTCTGAGAGTGAAGCCTGGGCTGACATCTAAAACCACCGTCTGGACTCCTCTGGACGTCACTGAATCTCCCGTCACTGCTACGTTTCTCTGCATAGTTCATATTTTTTAATGCAGAATCAATTTTAAAAGACTGAACCCAGCTGGGAAGGGATGCAAATCAGACAAGACTGCACAGAAAAGTTAATAACGACTGGAGGAAATGTCTGACTGTGATTTTTCTGACAGAAACTGCAATTTTGTTGTCCAACATGAACAACATATATGTGTGTTTATGGCTAATTCTGTTGAAGGCAGGTGTGTTATTCACTGTGTGGTCAGTTTAAAGCACGATGGAGCTTCAGCACACGAGACTCCTTTAAAAGCAGCATCACAGGTAAAACTCAGCCTTCATCCTGAAGCACAGCCGTCAGTTTGCTTTAAAATGAAATCAGTAAGTCTGTCTGTGACTTTCTAGATCACAGATTCTGTGTTTCTATCAACTCCTGGATCCTCTGTCCAAAAGCTGGAACAAGATTCGGACATTTTTTATTAATTTAGAAAATCGTGCAGACAGATACTACCGCTGGTGCTTCAGCTCTCAGAGTAAACCCTGCTCTGGTCAGCGGTGTGGACACGTACTGAACTGGAGCATAAACCAGGATGTCACATTCTAAGAAATTACATCCTTTTTTTTTATTGCATGGAGGAATTTGTTGTTCCAGAAAACAACATCTCGACAGCAGACTCTGGTGGACAGACAGCTGCTGAGGGTCGTGGACACCGCTCAGCCAACGCCCTCCTGTTTCCGAGGGACTCGGCGGTGCTGGAGGACCTTCGGGAGACCGGGTCACGTCGACAGACATCCACAGCTGTCAGAACGTCTGTTGGGTGACCAGTGGTGGACAGTCGGAGCAGACAGCCGTCTGTGGAGGTCAGTCTGCATCGCCGACGCTCAGAACGATGAAGATGTTTGTTGTTGTGACTCTAGCTCAGTCTAACGAGCGCTGTTCATTAGTGTCACCATCAAACTGTGACACCTGTGGGCTTCCCTCCTGCTGATTTAATCACCTCCGTTGACTTCATTTACTTATTTGTTGGAGTTAAATGTGAAGGACAGTCGGAGAATCAGGACACATGACGGAGGATCTCCAGCTGCTCTGTGCTGTCAAACATCCGCCTACAGACTGAACTGTGGGGCCTTTAACAGAAACCTGGGCGGCTGACTCCTGTCATCAGCGGTTTCTGTGTCCGTCTCCAGTTTTGCACTTTAACTTTTGTCTTTTCCTGAAACCTGGCTTTTCCTTAGAACACGCTTCAGTAGGAGAGTTTTCATCCGTCCACTCTTTTGTTCATTGAAATCCTGTTGGCTTGGTGACTGGTCTGGTTTACTCCCAGCCTTGTGAAGCACTTGGTACCTCTGACCGGGCTGAGCAGCTGTTTTTGGGTCACTGCTGTGCAACTCAGGCTGGTTCAGAATCAGCTGTGAATGAGCCACACAGCCACCAGAGGAACAGCCGGAGTCTTTCTCTGGGCCACACATCTGCTCCAGTCGAACCCTTCAACACTTTCTGTGCACATCTGGATCATCAGAACTTTCCCGACCACACAAACGAGACTCCTGCATGCTGTTCGTCCGGCAGTCCACTGGTCGAACTGGGAGACCGGCCCGGCATCCCAGCGCGGCTCAGAGGGAACCGGGGCAGCAGGTGTGAACGGGGCCACCTGCACCGGGACGAGCGGACCAGCTCCCCGCCACCGTCCCGTTCCGTCCCCGGGGAGCTGCACAGCTCGGTGACCGGTTCGCTTCGGTTCGGCAGCACCGGAGTCCATTCCGAGCAGCCCGGAAACACGGAGACAACGCACCGGACAGCTCCTCGCAGAAACACCCCCCAAAACCCGGCCACGGTCCGGCGAACCGGCTGAGGCGGCCGCTCGGGTCGGAGCAGGGCAGCGCTGCCTGACCGCTGTAGCATGCACCGTTAGCCCGCTAACAGCAGCCGCGCTGGCACGGCTAGCGGCACCGGACCGGGTGTTCCGGGACGAGACACCTGCATGATCTCAGTGTGGTGTGAAACCTGCCGACAGACGTGACATGTACACAACACACCGGGGCTCCGGCAACAAAGAGCCGCGGAAGGCCACGGCACCGCTCCTCAGCCCAGGTTAGCTGCTAGCACGCTAGCTAGCTCGGCCGGACAAAAGGGCCGTTCTGGTTCCACGAGTGGACGGAACCAAGTGAGCTGGTGTCGAGGAACACCGAGCAGAGACCCGCTGACCGAACGGAACCGCTGCCCCGCTGCCAGACATGCTAACACGCCGACTTCATCATTGTTAGCCAGGCTGGTCAAGTGTTACGTAGCGGCCGTTAGCGGGTTGGCTGGCGAACCGAGCCGAGTGTCAACCGACCCGAATACCATCCACCGTCACCCACACGACGTGGCGGTGCTTCGGGGACACACGGAGCTCGGTCGGCCGCCTCCGAGCAGCCGAACGCGGTCGGCTAACGGGCTAGCTGCTCGTTTGTTTTGGAGGGCGCCATGTTCACGGTCCTCCATCACGGGACGGTGAGGGCAGCCGCGGCGGAGCTAGCGGCGCCCGCTAGCCGCCTCGCTGTGCTCACGGAGCCCCGGGAATCGCACTCACCTCCGCCACAGGGTCGCCGCACGGTCCGGCCAGCTTACATCCGTGTGTCTCCGGCGGCTCGGTGCTGCGGGTGGAGGCGTGTGTGTGTCCGGCTCGCCTCGGTACAGCAGCGCCGTGCTGGGAGGTAAACAGACGGAGCCGCGCTGCCTGGAGCCGCAGGGAGAACTCTAGTGGTGGAATCCGGCTCACTGCAGCCTGCAGCCGGCCGCTTAAAGGGCCGCTCCGCCGTTTATCGGCTCACACTGGGGCAGCCGCAGACACACAGCTTCACCTGCAGCTCACAGTGTCTGCGGCGGGCAGGTGTGTTAGTTCAGTCACCGTGGATCCTCAGAAGTCCCTGATCCTGGAGGCTCTGTGGCGGGATCCTGCCGCTTCACAGCACGTGTCAGATGAAGTCAGAACATCTGAATCCCTGAGCCGCAGCTCTTTAAAAAGTTGATCAAGAGACGACAAGAAGCCCAAAGACGAGCACAAAGACACAGAAGACCACAGACAGGACTGTGGCAGTTTGTTGTTGTTGTTTTTAGTTGTGCAGCGGCTCACGGCTCTCCTTTTCAGGAGGCTCAGCACTGATCTGGCCCCCCTCTACATCAACGGCGAGTGTGTGGAGAGGGTCTTCACCTTCCGGTTCCTTGGCGTCCTCATCTCCGCTGACATCTCCTGGACAGACAACACCACGGCGATAATCAAGAAGGTGCAGCAGTGGCTTCACCTCCTGAGGGTCCTCAAGAAGCACAACCTGACCCCCACCCTGCTGCTGACCTTCTATGGCTCGTCCATTGAGAGCCTACTGACCTACTGTATCACAG